TAATGGTGCAAAACCAATATTTCATATATTAGCCAAGGCATTCCTATTTTGTAATAATGGCACAATGGTGCTTATATGAAAATATACCCAAAGTAAGAACCACTTTGTGGTGCTTAGAGAAATAAATAAACTTTGAGGTGCGGGTATATGTAAAGGAATAATGTTGCTGATATGTGAATCTAAACTCGAGTATTTGATGCATTTCTATCATGCAATTGAAGGTATAATGGTGCATTTCTATTATCCAAGGCATTCCTATTGTGTAATAAAGGCACAATGGTGCTTATGTGAGCATATACATAAAGTAAGAACTACTTTGTGGTGCATTGAGAAATAAACAAACTTTGATGTGAGGGCATGTATATTTGCCAATATGCGAATCTAACATCGGGTATTTGGTGCATTCCTATTTTACAATTGAAGGTATAATGGTGCAAAATTGATATTTCATATATTAGACAAGGCATTCCTATTGTGTAATAACGGCACAATGGTGTTTATGTGAACATATACTTAAAGTGAAAACCAATTTGTGGCTTTTAGAGAAATAAACCAACTTTGAGGTGCAAGAATGTATATTAAGGAATAATGTTGTTGAATATGTGCATCTATCGGGTATTTGGTGCATTCCTATTATACAATTGAAGGTATAATGGTGCAAAAAAAATATGTCACATATTAAACAAGGCATTCTTATTGTGTAATAAAAAAACGATGGTGTTTATGTGAACATATACATAGGATGAGAACCACTTCATGGTGCTTAGAGAAATAAACAAAGTTTGAGGTGCCAGCATGAATATTAAGGAAAAATGTTGCTAATATGTGAATTTAACATCGGGTATTTGGTGCACTCCTATTATTCAATTGAAGGTATACTGGTGCAAAACTAATATTTTGTATATTAGACAAGGGATTCCTATTGTGTACTAAAGAAACAATAGTGCTTATGTGAACATATATATAGGATGAGAACCACTTTGTGGTGATTAGAGAAATAAACAAACTTTGAGGTGCTGGCCTGTATATTAAGGAATAATATTGTCAATATGTGAATCTAATATTGGGTATTTTGTGCATTCCTATAACACAATTGAAGCTATAATGGAGTAAAACTAATACTTCATATATTATACGAGGCATTCCTATTGTGTAATAATGGCACAATGGTGTTTATGTGAACATACTTAAGGTGAGAATTACTTTGTGGTTCTTAGAGAAATAAATGAATTTTGTGTTGCGGATATGTACATTAAGCAATAATGTTGCTAATATGCGAATCTAATATCGGGAATTTGGTGCATTCCTATTATACATTTGAAGGTGTAACGGTGCAAAACTAATATTTCTTATATTAGACATGACATACCTATTGTGTAATAAATGCACAATGGTGTTTATGTGAACATATACCTAAGGTGAGAGCCTTTTTGTGTTGTTTACAGAAATAAAAATACTTTGAGGCGTGGGCATTGACATTAAGGAATAATGTTGCCATTATGTGAATCAAAATCGGGTATTTGGTGCATTCCTATTATACAATTGAAGGTATAATGGTGCGAAACTAATATTTCTTATATCAGACAAGACATTCCTATTGTGTAATGAATAGACAATGGTGCTTATGTGAACATATACCTAAGATGAAAACCATTTTGTGGTGCTTAGTGAAATAAACAAAGTTTGAGGTGCGGGCATTTCCATTAAGGAATAATGTTGCCAATTTGTGAATCTAACTTCGACTGTTTAGTGCATTCCTATTATACAATTGAAGGTATAATGGTGCAAAACTAATATTTCTTATATTACACAAGGCATTCCTATTTTGTAATAAAAGCACAATGATGCTTATATGAACATATACCTAAGGTGAGAATGACTTTGTGGTGCTTAGTCAAATAAATAAACTTTGAGGTTCGGGCATTTACATTAAGGAATAATGTTGCCAAAATGTGAATCTAACATTGGGAATTTAGTGCATTCCTATTATACAGTTAAAGGTGTAATGGTGCAAAACTTATATTTCATATATTAAACAAGGCATTCCTATTGTGGAATAAAGGCACAATCGTGCCAATCAAATTTTGAGATGCAGACATGTACATTAAGGAATAAAGTTGGCAATATGTGAATCTAACATTGCGTATTTGGTGCATTCTTATTATACAATTGAAGTTATAATGATGCAAAACTAATATTTTATTTATTAGACAAGGCATTTCTATTGTATAATAAAGGCACAATGGTGCTTATGTGAACATATACCTAAATTGAGAACTATTTTATGATGCTTAGAGAAATAAACAATATTTGAGGTGTGCACTTGTATATTAAGGTATAATGTTGCCAATATATGAATCTAACATTGGGTATTTGGTGTATTCTTATTATACAATTGAATGTATAATGGTGCAAAATTACTATTCCTTATATTAGATAAGGCATTCCTATTGTGTAAGAAAGGCACGATGGTGCTTATGTGAACATATACCTAAGGTGAGCAGTACTTTTCGATGTTTAAAAAAATAAACAAACTTTGAGGTGTGGGCATGCAAATTAAGGTATAATGTTGCCAATATGTGAATTTGACATCTCATATTTAGTGCATTCATGTTGTATAATTGAAGGTATAATGGTGCAAAATTGATATTTCAGATGTTTGATAGGGCATTCCTATTCTATTATAAAAGGCATGATAGTGCTTATGTGAACATATACCCAAGGTGAGAGCCACTTTGTGGTGCTTAAAGAAATAAACAAACTTTAAGATGTGGGCATGTACATTAAGGTACAACATTACCAATATGTGAATCTAACTTCTCATATTTGGTGCATTCCTATTATACAATTGAAGGTATAATGGTGCAAAATTAAAGGCACGATGGTGCTTATGTGAATATATATCTAAGTTGAGAACTATTTTGTTGTGCTTAAAATGAGTACACAAATTTGGATGTGTAGGCGTGTGCATTAAGCTATAATGTTGTCAATATGTGAATCTAACATCAGGTATTTGTTGCTTTCCTATTATACAATTGAAGGTATAATGTTGCAAAACTAATATTCCACATACTATACAAGACATTTTTATTGTGTAAGAAAGACACAATGGTGATAATGTAAACATATACCTAAGGTGAAAACTACTTTGTGCTGCTTATAGAAATAAACAAACTTTTGAGGCGTGGTCATGTATATTAAGGTATAATGTTGTCAATTTGTGAATCTAACATTTGGTATTTGACGCATTCCTATTATACAATTGAAGGTATAATGGTGCAAAATTGATATTTCATAAATTTCGTAAGGCATTTCTATTTTATAATAATGACACAATGGTTTGTATCTGAACATATTCTGTGATGTTTTAATTTGACATTTTGATTGTATATTAAGATTTAATCGTGTCAATTGAGAATTCCTTATTTTTAATCTTGATCACATGTAACTGTTTCATATTCATGATGGATTTGGTTGGTTGGTTACCTTACAATGAGAACCACTTTGTGATGTTTGGAGAAATATAAAAACTTTAAGGTGTAGGTGTGTGGTATTTTTATTATATATTAAGGTATAATGGTGCCAATTGGTGAATCTAGCATCTTGGTATATGGTGTATTCCTATTTTAGAATCAAAGATATAATGGTGCAAAATAGATATTTAATCTGTTTGACATGACATTCTTATTGTGTAATGAAGGCACAATGGTGCTTATGTTAATATATAGTTCAATGTGTTATTTTGTTGATAAACTTTAATAAGCATTTTTGTCAAAGAGAAGAATTTGAAACTCATGATGGATTTGATTGGTTACTTTAAGGTGAGAACCACCTTGTGGTGTTTAGAGAAATAAGAAAACTTTAATGTTTGGGCATGTGGTATTCTTATGATATATTAAAGTATAATGGTGCTAAAATGTGAATATGACATCCTGTTATATGGTCCATTCTATTATTAATCTCAGGTATTATGGATATTTAATCTACTTGAATGGTATTCCTTTTGTGTAATAAAGACACAATAGTGCTTATGTGAACATATACCTTGGTGTGTTAATTCGACACTTTAATTGTACATTAAGATACAATGGTTTTAGTTGAAAATTCCTTATTTTAAATCATGATCACATGGAATTATTTCATACTCATGTTAGATTTGGTTGGTTACCTTAAGGTGAAAACCACCTTTTGGTGTTTGGAGAAATAAAAAACTTTAAGGTGTAGGCATGTGACATTCTTATTATACATTAAAGTATAATGTCATCAATACTCAATCTATTTTGGTGCATTCCCAAAATAGATAAACTCATAAAAGAAAAATCTATGGCTATAGTCCAAAGGTCTAGTTGTACATAGAGTGGATGAGACATTTGCTCCAAATTATATGGGATTTTGTTTTTTTCAAAAAATTAATATGATATCTCCTTTAGGATACCCAAGCTGATGATTAGAGATTCTAAGAATTAGGTCCAATGGGAAAAACGAATCAAGGAGAGGTCGCTTGGTGAACGTTGCATAGAGTGCTAGCTCATTTGTCTATCCCTACGATGTAAGTGTACTTATCTTGTAACATTTGGACGATTGAGTTCATTGAAACTCTTAATGACGTCTATAGCTCATGGGATGTCTTAGTTACTGGAGCATACTAATAGATTTGACCTATGTGAGTGTCGGAGTGGGGCAATTATCTCGATCACTCATGAATTCCAGGATCAAGCACAAGGTTGTAAGGTGCTGTCTAAAAGAATCTACATATTTTTGAGTTAGTATTGATTTATTATTTTGGTAAAAGTATCAACTGGAGTTAACATGATCTTGAGTAAGTAGCTTATTTAATATGATATCAATTTTTTTTTTTGAAAGAAATCATCTATATTTAACTTTTTGTTCAGATTCTGGATGACATTTCTCAATGTGTTGTCATACATATAATATTTATTAACTAATTGATAATTCGGAGTTTCCTATCAAAGGTATGTGGAGCCTAGCATCCAGCCAGATGATAGATGTTATGGGGAAAATCCTAACAGGCTCCAATGCCACACTCAATTATGTTCTGTGCAATATATTGAATAGATCATGTTTGTGATTTTTTTTGTTTCTTTTGCAGTCACTTTTCATTTTGCTTTCCTTGAATGATTTCAGGTTATACTAAAGCCATATCTCGGAAATTCACAAGACCTCTTTATTCGTAGCCTTTCAACATTAGGTATTTGGTTGACCTTCTTTTCTTCACATCTTGATATAGATTGTTTCATCCTATGAAAATATTTGTTCTTACTTGTAAGGTGCCAATTGCCATTATTCCTTGATGTTGCCTTTCTTTTATTAGTCTTGTAGTTTGTGCTAATCTTATACATGCTGGTTATCTTTATGGAACTTGTTCTGGTTTGTAAGATAGCTTCCTCCTTGTATAGCCTACTGATTTGACCGAAAGTAATGCTATAGTAATCTGTTATGTTCTGATTTGGCACAATAACTAGATTTTTGCTTATATACATTTGAACTGCACATGTAAAATGCTAACAATTTTTATGATGTAGAAGTGAATTTGCTTAGAAGCTTTGTTCTATCTTTTAAGCCATGCACTTATGGAGGTGTGTGCAGTTTCTAATAATTTTGTGTGTCCAAGATACTGACCAATTACTGTTAAACATCAATTATTTCTTTGTATTTTTTTACTAAATACTGGCTACATTGTCAAAAGTATCCTCTAACTTTTGATAAATTAATTGGTTTAATGATGCTCATAATAAGGCACCATCTTGTGTCCTTTCAAATTAAGGGGTCTAGGATTTAAAAGCTTATAATATAATTTTTATTGATCTTTAATCATCCGCCTTCTTAGTTCTCATTTAGGGAATTAAATTGTATATAGTTGAATAAATTGTTTGTGACTTAGTGGATACAACATATAATTTTATCATGAATGGTCATATATAATTGTATTCCAATGGTTATTTTATATTATACTTGTGTGCGTAACAAGTATTGATGTTAGTGGACATGATATAGTGTTTGCCGAGGACAATTGGGAGAGTGCAGTAGTATGATCTATTTCATGGTGGTTTTTAATGTGTATGTATGTTTTCCAATCAGTATAGTTTTATGTAATTGTGTAAAGCCAACTAGCCTCCTAATTTTGAGCACTTTAAAACCATGATATTTTCACATCACTTTGCTGTTATTGACCTCACATATGCTAACAGGCACTTGATGCATGGGGTTTGGGCTGGGAAATCTGGATGGATGGGATGGAGATCACACAATTCACCTACTTCCAGCAGGTTTGTTCTTTGGCATCTACATTGAAATGTAATTTTTTTTCTTTGAAAGTTGCGACTCTCACACGCAGACTGCATTATGTAGTTTTCTCCTGATTTTTGAAAGTTTTATAGAATTCCCACACACCCACCCCCCCCCTGCCGGCCCCCCGCCCCCCTTCTCTCAGGCTGGAAGTCTTCAGTTGTCACAATATCTGTTGAAACCACGTATGGCCTTGAGCGTATACTTATTGCTTCAGGTGAATTTCATAACATTATTCATCTCTCTTCTTTCCTGCTTTGTTATTATTTTTTAATCTGCCTGAAGTTACTTAAGGTTTGATTTGCAGGGTGTTGATCATTTCAAGAAAATTCAGTATGCTGACGGGATTACATATGGGAAGCTTTTCTTAGAAAATGAGTAAATTCTTTAACCTTTTTCTTTTCAGGATAGTGTGTTTTTTTTAGCTTGAAGAGTTATGTTGCAAGGTTCATAGCTTGACGGACATCGATTCTCCTGAGAAACCCAGATTTAAGATTGTCTAGTTTAATTTATTATTCCAGTATCGTTCATCAGTGTCAGCAGCCAAAAGCTTGAAAATCCTTTCTTCTTTCTGTTCGTGTGAAATGAAAATAATTGTTTTATTGAATTGTTCTTTCAGAAAGTAGATGAGTGCTTATTATTTAGAACATGCCAGTGTTTGCCATATTTGAAAACATTTTGAACTTTTTTGAGTAAGAAGCTCATTGCTTAGGTGCATCCGGACTGGCAATTCCTGCATATGTTTAATTATGTTTCAATGTTTCCCTCTATTATTTATATTCCTAGTTTTTGCCTTGTTTACTTTCCTTTTAACATTTTGTCATTACCATTCTAGGTATGACCAGCTTCTGAAAACATCTCAGGCTTTTAATATCTTGGACTTTAGAGGTTTCTTTTCTTCCTAATATCAATTTAGACACATTGGAAGCTAATGAGATAGCAGCGACCATTTCAAGACTAGGAAAATATTGAGAGCCATAGGATTTTGTCCAGTACACTTTCAGTCCTGAAGAAGGCCCAGTATGTGAAAACTTTGAAAGGACATTCTACATTTATATTTGCATAGCAAATTTTGCACCAGGCATGGGCTGCACGATTGATAGATGATGAAGTGTACTCAAATTCTATTCCCTCCTTGAAAAAAAAATTGCTCTGTCCATTTAGTTGTTTTTCCTTAATGTTCTCGTCCTGCATCTCTCATGGTGCTTGTCATTGTTCAGTTTAACTTGTCAGTGTGCCCAACTCTGGTTAGAGACACAAGAATCTCTTGGACATCATTAGGGTTTTGTTCCTAAATCTGTTGAACATGTATGTCCTAAAGAGGTTCTGGAGGCAGCAGTCAAAAAGGTTAGTCTAAATATGTCAAATAATTAAAATAAATTTTTTCTTCTTTCTTTTATCACTTCTCTTATTTGTTGCACTTCTTAGGTCTCAGGCTATTCAGAGCTTGTTGTAATTAATTCTTATTTCTTTGTCTTTTGGGCTTTCCAATTTTTGGTAACTATACTGGTTCCTAGATACATGGCAATTATAAGATTCTTTGAGTTAATTGAGCCAATGCTCTTATTCCTTTTGTTAAGGAAAATTGAATAAAAAGAATCTATGTAAGTACGATATATAATGACCAATCATATATCAAATATATTATCTTATCCAAGAAAATTCTTTTAGGACCCCTTTTTGCATGCAAATTTAGTAAGTTCAAATTTTGTAAAGATGAATAAAAAGGCTCATATAAAAGGAACGCTGTAAATATTCAAGGAAAGTTGTCCTTGCTCATCAAGCCATCACAGTGCTGTTGTAGCTTGTTCTTTTAGGTTCACCAACAATTGGTATTTATTAGTTCTATATGTTGTTGGCATACGTTTGGCTTCAACCTTCTGTTACATATCCTTTATGGAAAGGATGATGTCTAGTCTTTCATGTGCAATAAGCAAGACCACCCACTGAACTGGTGCATAGAGTACTGGTGGCTGGGTACATGTTACAGGTGATGCCTCCTTGTTCCAACCTTTTACAATGTTGGAGGTTGAGGCTGGAGGCTCTATGTTTAATTGTACATAGCTTAATGGAGGCATTTGACGTTTAATTGTTCTTAGCTTAGTGTAAAGATATCTTCCATAAACAAACACACAAGTAGAGACGCACAATACAGGTTCATGCATTTTTAATTTATGTTTTCAAGCACCAATGCATTTTTCTCTTTACATTCATCTATTCTGCACCTCTCAACACAAGATGTTCTGGACTGCCACCACCTTTGGTGTTTTATATATTTATTTTTGGTACAAACCTTTGGTCTTTTAGGAAAATGCTATTTTTCCCAACACTTTTGTCTTGCTTAATGTGGCAATAGTTTATTAATTTGACTGTAATATCTAACTTATGAGTTAGTTGACTTCCTCATGAATCGGTAGAAAAACAGGGAGTACAAATATCTAACGCAGTCTTTTATTTCTCTGTAATTGTCACTCAGCTGTATGATCCTCTCTATATGAAACTGTTTTAAGTTGTCCCGGTACATTCATTTATCCAACTATAGCTTTTCATATAAAAGATTCTATTAAAGGCTACTTCACCAGTTTCTTTTAGGGTTCTACTTTTCTTGAATGTTGATAATCATATTCTAAATTTAAACAGTGGGGAAAGTAGCATGACTCAGTCTTTTATTTCTCTGTAATTGTCACTCAGCTGTATGATCCTCTCTAGATGAAATTGTTTTAAGTTGTCCTGGTACATTCATTTATCCAACTACAGCTTTTCATATAAAAGATTTCTTAAATGCTACTTCACCAGTCTTTTTTAGGGTTCTACTTTTCTTGACTGTTGATAATCATATCTCTAAATTTAAACAACATTGTTTCTATACTTGTTTTAACCTTTATCAATATCTTTTGTTTATCTTAATTATGTTTTACAGGTGCACCATGATCCAAGATTGTTTGTTCTCGAACTTGACGCTGAAGACATGCCACCTCATGATGTAGTTAACGCAAGCTTGCAGGTATGATTAATTTTTTGTGAAGCATGGATCTTTCTCTTTCTGTTATGTTGTTTACTCAATTTAAATCTTACTGGCCATTTTATATAAAACGTCCTGAAGCTTTATAGGAAATGCATTTGACATATTGCTTCTCTGATTTCTTTCTTTGCCTTTTTAATTTCCTTGTACAATTCTAAATTGATGATTGTTTCATTTAATGTTTGTTGTTGACTGAAGTCTTCTTATATAACCTTCTGATTCTGGTCATCGCAGCTTAAAGATTTAATGTCTGAGCTTCTGGAAAAACAGAGATTGAACCTTGGTGACATTCAGGCTTTTGGCACTCCTCACAGACTAGTGTTATAGCTATGGATTTCACGCAGGTTTGCACGATATTGATAGTTTCTTATTGTGGATGTGTCTTTAAATAATATCCGACTGTTTTGAGGATATTGCTTCTTAAGAAGTTGGGTGGCTTGGTTGTACCTTATAGTCCCGAAAGAGCGTAAGAAGCCAATTGCGTTAGTACTTCTTATCATAATCATTAACCCCAATGCTTATAGCATTGTAATCGATATGTTGGAATCCTATATGATAATTGATCCAAGTGAACCCTTCATTTGATCTCCATAATGTAACAAGGCATTCTTCACGTGGAAAAACCTTAAGTGTACTATAAACGTGCATTTGTCAGAATTGTCAAATGTTAATTGTGATGCATTATTGAGACACTATATATTGGCTTATTATAATGTCATTTATTTTGCATTGCAAGTTCCTGCCATTATTGGCTTGTACACCAGGTGGATTCCTCAATATTTTTATATTTCCAAGCTTGTGTTCTCATTTCAGATATCTGTCGAGAGCCTTTGTCCTAAGCCGAGAATGAGGTTGAGGTTCAGGGGCGTCCTGTTTTGAAAGCCTTTGACGTACAGGGAAATGCTACAAAGGTTTTGGTTCCCTTCTAATTTTGTTTTGCTAAATGTTTTTCAGCTTGTTTTGTCCAATGATATAGGCAGTTGGGCTGTACAACTTCAGTAGTAAAGAATTTGGCAGTTCTGTAGGAGTTTTACATTTCTCCTTTGTCTTGTATTTCTATCCATATGAAGTTTGTTATTTACTGCAGGCTGCTGAAGGGTTTTTGCCACAGATTGCTGTCCCACTGGATTACTTGTTCAGAAAGGTTTGATGGCGAGTCAGTTTTGATTCATGCACAACATTTTTTATTTTCAGTATTCCATGCCTTATCAATTTCCTAGGAAAACTTATTTAATATAATCCATTACAATCAAGATAAAACCATCAAATAGTAAGGGAAACAATAGGCATTTCGTATTTCCTCACCCAAATTCATTGTGATCTCCAAAGTTTTGTGTCCTGTTGAATAATTCATGTTGGTTTACCTAGAGATTTTATTGAAAAACAATGTTGCTTACATTGTTTGGTCTGGCTTAAAAATGTATCTTACATTCTGATTGGTCTAATTCCACAAATTCATAGAAATTGATTTGTACCTACTTGGCATAAATTCTTGTGCTAGAATTTCTTTACCAAGGAGGAGGAATTTATTACATCTCAAGGTACATTCTGCACTTTAGTACAGTCCATGCCATACATAAGTTTTTTTTTTTTTTTCTTTTAAAGGCTAAAATCAGATTTCATTCCTGCTGAAGTGAAGTCAAAAAACCACCAATTAAAGGTAGTGTTGCAGTAAGACACAATGGAGGGACAGCCCCCTCCACGGTGCCACTGTGTATACAGACAGGGAACAGTTAATACAAGGTTGCACCTGGGATGAAACTACAACAACCATCATCCCACCCAATATTCACATCACAACCCAGGATCATCTGATAGCAACCTGGTTATGCTAAATTTTCTGTACAAACAAAATAACACACACCATCAACACCCACTGCAATTTACAGGCATGGCAACCATTCCAATCATTTCTGTACATGAAGTTCATTCAGAAGCTCTGCATCTTGCCACTCTGACGTGCATGGCCACATTGTAAGTTGTTTCACACTTCCTCCTGTAGATCTTCACAGTAGAGAATCTGTCACTTCAATGCCACAAAAAACTCCTGTTTAAAATGTAGAGCACTATAAAGCTATCATTCGAGCTTCATCCCCTACCATACGTCCCCCAGAGATTGCTTTGAGTCCATGAAAAAACACAACAGGTTACTATAAACCATGCCATACATAAATTGACCACATTATCACAGAATATATTTAGTAGAGCTCCATGCCATAGTGTAGCACATTTAGATGGCATCTGTGCATTTTGCTTTATTTGTTGGCTTGTCAAATACTGATCATTGTCCATAAACCTAAACTTTGTTCGGCATCAGTTTATTCACATCATCAGCAAAAAAAACCAATCATACGTACTTTTCTGTATTCTTAAAGTAAATGCTTTGCAGGGAAAACAGTGTACGTGTGGGCTTGTGTCAAAGAATCTGCTTGAGTTGATTTGGAGGTTCAAATGCTGATCTCTCTCTCTTGCATGCTCCTTTGTGCTCTATGTCCTTTTCATTTATATCTTTGGTACTACCTGATGCTTACCAGGTCATCTCTGGCATCTTGAGTTATTTCTCATTGTGATCTTTTATATAATATGTTAGGCTTCATTTGAAGAGTTGCCTGGAATCCTTGCTAAGATTTCTTTTGCAAAGTCAATGCGCTGGAATTCCCAGGTATTTGCTATTTTTTATTTTTTTTCTCCTTTTACTTTCATGTCTATGTGAGCAGTAGATACTGGATTCGAGGGTTGGCTTTTTCTTCTCTTATTAACTCTTTGTATATTTATTTGAACCATATTCCGTTGATAATATAATATGGTTATGGTTACCAATTTAGAATTATCTAAAAAAATATGGAATGTTTTCTATGTATTCTGACTTTATAAAAACACATTGCTTTTCCCTTGCTTTTCTTAATGTAGGTCATGTTCAGCAGATCTAGTTGTGGGATTATGTCTCTCCATGGAGATGCAGTAGTTCCATTTATGTATGCTGGGATTTTGAGGTAATTGTTATTTTGTATTGCTATCCAATCCTCTCTTTTCTACTTATAGCTAATTGTTACTTTCAACTTACCATATTCATTTTTGATATGTCGTGAAAACTTATCTTATGGTCTTCATAGTACTTCAGCAACTGCTGTTATGATCTGTATGGAAACTTGTTTATTGTTTCCTCCAGCTTCTTGTGCGTTTCATAAGAAGTATTGGATGATTATTTTACTCATTGTCATGTCCGTTAAGTATTATGATGAAATTAAGAAATCAGTCAGTCACCCTCCCGCACGATTATTTGATCGAATTGGTTTAGAAATGCTATTAATTTGCCAGAATTAAGCTATTGGGACTTAATAATTCATTTTGAAGTGCTTATGGAAAACTCGGTAGACAGCTGCTCAACTTGAGTGGACATTAGAGAATGCTGCTTGCACTTGCATATGTGTCACTTCTTTTTGTATGTATATTTGATTTTAGTTCTGAAATGCTTTCCGCAGGTAGAAAGTGCACAATCTTATCCTAGTATAATGAAGAATGCTGGAATCTACTGAAATCGAGGTATCGTGAAGTCTTTTCTTGCACTTTATTCATATATTTTTGAATATTATAAAGCTGCTTTCATTATTAAAAAAGGAATGAAATGATTCCCTACATCAGTAACATCAAAGCCAAAAATCATCCACTGGACGGCATACACTTACAGTAGGGATGGGTATGGCCCCTAATACAGCTTCAAATCATAAAACAAAAGCAAACGACCCCTAGAAACAGAACAAAAAAAATTTTCATCCATCTATATTGCCCCCTACACTTACAATCAAACCAGATGTCAAGGAGCAAGACAACCTGTACACATCTGTACAAAACATAATTCAGAAGATCAACCATCCACATATCAACAATAAAACGCCCTAAGCCCTGGACCAAACTTAAACTCCCATAGCCACTAATTCCAGATAAACAAAGAGTATCAAAACCAAATGTCAAGACAGAGGACAAACTAGGAACAGCCATCAACAAGGAAATTATCCACCTACCCAATAAATCAAAACCAGACAGTGTCAAAGCACAATTCGGGGAAGACCTACTCAAAGACTCGCAATATCTCATTTTGAAGATGAACCCCTCCCTTCGCAAGACTACCTGCTCTCTGATTTGCTTCTCTTTCAATCTGCAGCAAAACCTTCCTTACTCTCTAAGGAGCAGTAGCAGATAATTTCGTTCATTGACCACGTTAGTGGAATCCTTTCAATAAGCAAATGAAACTCACCCGTCCACTTTGACGCAGCAAAAACAACCAAAGCTTCTCCTATTGACTTAGAAAATAACACTTTAACCTCCCTTTTGTTATCGAACAAAAGGCCACCAATTTCAACTGGTCCCAGGCATCCTTGAGCTGATCGTGTCCAAACGGTTGTGTGCAAGTGTATAAAACAGATAAACAATCCGCAGGCCACAATGCATTGAGCCAAGTAGCAACTCTGACTTTCACGAGCTCGAAACATTGCACGTCTCAAACTTTACCACTGAAAACAACTTCATTTCTGCACTTTATTTTCTTTCATGAGTTCCTTTTTTTTACCCTATTATTTCTTAATCAGGATTTTGTTTAATTATATAAACTTTTTTCTTTTCTTTCTTGTTAAGAGTTTAAAGGTGAACTGAATGTATTGTTCTATTGACAGAATACAAAGAAAACAATTTTGGAGTGGTCAAATTTGTTAAGCAAAAAGTGTCAATGGAAACATTGTTATTCATTGAATGTATAATTTCACTTTAAAACTAAGTTTGAAAAATATCTCAGGCAATAATGCATGAGGTGCTCACGTTGTTTGGTGTAGAGAGGATTAACTGCCTTGTTTGTAAGAAGACCATTTTCATAAATTAAATAAATAAAGTAACAGTATCTTTTTTTAACTTTTTTTTTTTTGAAAATTAAGCATTTCATTCATCAACAAGGGATGAGCAATTCCCTGTAAGAAAAACAATTCAGCTCCAGATTTAAACTATAACTTCTATTTGTATTTGAAAATTGCAAGAATATTAGTTAGTAGAAATGATTTTAAATTGCGTTCAATCAAGTCTTACGTCATTGACACGCAATATTAATTCGACAATTGTATTTTTAACTAACGGTAGTTAATTAATAATTAGTGCGTAAAATTTATTTGACTTAAAGTAAAATGGTAAGAGTTTGATTAAATGTAATAAAATTATAAGAATTAAATTAAATTTTTTTGTATAGTTTAGGAGTCTCTTGGGTATTATGTTAGAGTAAAAATAATGACAATGTTACAAACTTTTAAAGACAAATTTGATATTTCATATGTATTGTTTCGGATGATTTAGTATTTTTCATAGTAAAAGTAGAATCTATAATATATGTTAGAGTTAACTTTATAAAATTCATTTATCCAAAATATTTTTATGTGAAATCTTTCTTACAATTAGGCTAAAGTATGTCCCATTTATATTATCATCATGAGAGGTATTATAATTTAGGAATAATATTTTTTAAAAAATTAAACTATTTAGAAAAATTATAATATGTTTTTATTTTTTTATTATGTTTATTTAATTTAAAATAAAATTTTAATTAAACTTTCATATAAGCATAATCAATGGTTAATTATAAAGATTTATTTTATTCAAAATAAATGTATATAAATTTAATTAAATGTAAATAAAATAATAAAAAATTCAAATAATTGATCTTCTGTAATTCTAAGAGACATTGTACTACAAACATTCGATGGAATTAAACCCACCACTTATATATGTAAACAAAAATTTTGGGGTCTTTTTTGTTTGTTCCATATGAAAGTTTAAGCTTTGAACTATATGATATAGGAAATAATTTTCCTTTATCTCTTAATCAATTTTTCTTTCAAAATTTGAATGAGGCAATGAGTTGAAACTTTTAAATCCTAATTATTTAATTCTTTTTTGGAATTAAAGTGAAAACTTACCAACATACAAGACTATTGATGCATCTCATTACATCCATGCAATTATTTAATAAACAATTTTTTATTTTTTAAATTACATATTACAGATTTGTAGATGTACTTTTTCTGATTTCGAGTTTTGATTTTGGTTTTGTTTCATGTATTATTTCAATTCAACAATTTTAATCCATGTATCTTAATTTTAATAAATTTAAATCTTATATTTTTATTAAAAATTAATTTAAGAGTAATTTATAAGGATTTTAAAAATTTCACCCTTAACTTGAATGATTTAACATTTGAATGATAAGGAATATTTTTAGACCACTCGACATGTATTAGTCTAAAAAAGTTTATATTGTATTTTGATTAAATAATTATTAATATATCTTAGGTTCTAAAAAATAATAATTAATCATTAAAAGTAAATATTTTTTGTACTAATATATGTCTCATGAGAAAAAAATTTAAATTGACATAAAAATCATCCACAAGAAGGTTCGACGATTAAAATTATTAACAAGATTTGGACTTTATTTTTAATTATTTTTAAATAATTTTTTAATAAAAATATAAAACTTAAATTTATTAAAATTGAAGTAAAAGACTAGAACCGTCTAATTGAAATAATAAAAAAGATTAAAGTTAAATTCGTAATTTGATTTTCTTGTGAAATACTTTAGAATAATAATAATAATAATAATAAAAAGAATGGGCAGAGGATGCACGTGACTTGCATATGCATCCAGTTAACCCTTATACTATAAGAGCCAGAAAACCCTACCTTTCAAAATCGGCCGCTTCATTTATCTCCGAAGAAACCCTCAGCAGCCGAACTCGAAGACCCAAACTAAAAGTATCAGCAAAAATGGTGTCCGGCAAGAAAACGGTAAATACCCTTTCTTCTCTTATCTTTTATATGTTGATCTATAATTTTCACAATCGAAAAAAAAAATCTTAAAATCAATATTTGTTTTTTTTTTTTTTGGATTTAACAGAAGAAGACCCATGAGAGCATCAACAACAGACTGGCACTCGTTATGAAGAGTGGAAGATACACTCTGGGTTACAAAACAGTGCTTAAGTCTCTCAGAACCTCAAAAGGTTCTTTACATTTTGCATTTTTGTATCTGGGTCTAATTTCATTTTTTTTTCTATTTGGTTTGCTTTTAGATTTTTAAAGATGTAATCTTTTTAATGAAGAGATTTTGGGTTTTGTTGATATTTGATAGGGAAGCTCATTATCATTTCGAACAATTGTCCACCGCTGAGGAAATCTGAGATTGAGTACTATGCCATGCTTTGCAAAGTTGGGGTTCATCATTATAATGGAAGTAAGTGTTTTCTTTATTCTTTCCTGTTCTTTGCGAAGGATTTCCTCCCCTATTTTTATAATGTTTGTATTATGGTACGATAGAAGCTGATTTTGAGCATTGTAAGGTCTTGCATTTCTGCTAAGTTGGGCTCTTTAATGATTGTGTGATGGTTTGTTGTGGTAAACTTTGCAGTGATTTGAATTGTTATGGGTGGGATTTTGATGATATAGGGATATCTCAGTCAATTAGTCATTGAATAAACACTTAAACAGCAAAAATAGATAATAAGAAAAAAAAATAGAATGTGTTCACTGCATATCTCATTGGTACGTTAGGAGTATACCTACCCTTGTCATCTCATTGTTTGAATATGATTTGCGGAATTTTAACCTACATTTTTTCTTTAGGGATTTGGAACTTATGTGATTAGGATCTTGTTTGATAATTTCTGTTGGATATACAAGGCTTCTGGTGGATGGCTTAACTTTTGTGATATTCTTGTGCTATGTTCTATATGCTGACTAAGTTGTGTCCTAGAGTTCCTTCAGTCAGTTGTTTGGGATGTCATTGCTATCAATGGCTAAAGCTTATATGATAGATTTTCGCATGTATCTAGGATTGGGTTGAATGATTTCCGTGTTTACTTATTTTCTCTGTCTACGTTGATTATCTACTTTGGCTTAATGGGAGCTTGTCTATGATCGTTTTGGGTAAACTATGAAGTCAGAAATTGGAATTTTTTGACAAACATGGTTGATTGATCGTAGGTTTCCTTTGCTAGTTATTTTACCCAGTTATTAGTCAAATGTTTGGTGGCTAATCTCTCTTTAATTCTCCAGACAATAATGATCTGGGAACAGCTTGCGGGAAGTACTTCCGTGTTTCTTGTCTGAGCATCATCGATCCAGGTAACAGCACATTTGGATACTGTTGAATGCTGCTCTGTACAATTCAATGATTGCAGATAATCAAACTGTGCTTCTCTTCTCTGCCCTGCAGGTGATTCTGACATCATCAAGTCCTTACCTGGTGACAACTGAGTGGATCAAGTTTAGCTTCTCATTTGACAGCAGAATGATGTTTCTTTCTTTATAATATTCTCTCTCTTTGCCCTCTTCCCCGTCGTTTAAGAATATTTACTAGAGGATTGTACTTTGTTAATGTTAAGTTGTGGATGTTCTTGCCAAAATCTGTAGCTTAAATACCAATTTTTGTTTGGTTTAATGAAGATACTGGGTTTTCATTATAATGTTGCGCGATAGAAATTTATGGTGGCAGGAAAAACAATTGAAAAGCACTTACGGTTAGTTGAATTCCTGTTTTGAAATGTTTGCTTGTGCTGGTTTCGTTTCTCTACCTCATTTTAGTTATATACACACACACACACACACACACACACACACCTTAATTAAAAGTATGCATTGTTTTACTAAATGAGTTAAATGAGATAGGTTCATATCTCTTATCTTCGAAATCAAAAAATTGGATTTGGCTCCTTGGTTAGCTTGAGAAATAATCAGAATGTAAATATTATGGGAAATGAGGAAGTAAATTGAGTAAATTATGAATTTTACAATCATGTCTTTTACTCAACAACGAGTTAATTTTTTTATTTTTATATTTACTTTAGTTGTGGAAAAATCAGGAAAAATTTAGCATTAATCTATAATTCTTTATAAAAATCAACCAACACGGGAAAATCACAAGAGGATATTCTATCCATTCCTGTCCATAGTTATAATTAAACTTAAGAAAAGAAATTAAATTGTAAAAAACAGTAGAAAGAAAATTGAAGGGTAACTAGCGGCGGATGTGAACGGTAAATTCAGTTTATTTAGAACCCAAAAAAAAATAAAAAATATTAATAATAAGAAAACTCTTTTCTCTCATTGTTTTGCGCAAAATTTGGCCCGAACTGTACAGCCTTTCACCACTGCTCAAAGCTAAAAGTAAAAGGCCTAAAACCTTCCCGTCTTGTCTTTGTCGTTTCAAATCCTCTCTTCTTTTCTTTTTGAAACGTTTCTTTTCGCTCCTTTCTTTGGAAAAAAAAAACCGTTTTTAGGGTTTCTTCAGCTATTTTATCCATGTTCTTGTAAATTTCATGTGCTTTTAATTCAATTCGTCGTCTCGGCGTTCTAAGTTACCTTTCAGTTTTGGGGTTTATGTGACATGCAGGCCATTGATTCTTCACGCAGTTCGAATATTTCCATTCCCTGCATTTCCTCAATTTGGGAAATACCCTTCTTCTCTTTCTCAATTGCACCCTGCTTTTGTTCCATTTCAGCTTTGGGGTTTAACGATCCAAGTCTCCTTCAATTTGGGTAATTTGTTAGGGTTTTTATTGTTTCTTATTAGAATTTCATTTCAAAGGGCCAAAACCAAAAAAAGCTTTTATTTTCTAATTTGGGCAGTGCTTTAGAGTTTTTGGTGGTTGTGGGATGAATAGTGTATTCAGTGAACAGATACTTGCAGAAAAGCTCTCCAAGCTCAATAGCACTCAGCAGTGTATCGAAAGTATCCTTTTCTTTCTTTCTTTCCTATTTCCCCCCCGAGGTTATATTGTTAGTTTGATTAACTGCTTTAAGTTCTCTGTATTAGCTGCGGAGAAGAGAAGTAAAACGTTATGATTTCTCTGTCCTGTACTTGCTTGTATTGCTTTTCTATGCGGATTTGTCTTGTTTGATGCATTTTTTTGGCAAAGATAGGAAATTTCATTGGACTGTATTTTAAATTTTAGTTAGAGTAATGTTGGTGATCCTATGTCTGTTTGAGTTTGCTTTCGTGTTAATTGGCCATCTAGCTAAAATTTTAGCTATATACAGTTTGTAATTTCCTCTTTCAGTTGATCAATTTGGAATTGAAGCTAAGTTTTAAAATCTTAGCGTTGTTGGTTTATCGATTATGTCAAATTATTTGTATGTTTCCAACATTTTCAATTCTGATTCAATGGTACCGATTGGCTGTAAGATCTGTGGCTTTCAAACTCTAAAGCATAGTGAAATCCATCTTGTTAAATTTAACTTGGGATTATTTTACTTTGAACTGCATGACAATGTTAATTGAACACAATGATTTTGTTGTTCTAACATAGGAGTGTCCATGTCAGTGTGGACTTCAAGTTTGATGTAGGTTTAGCTGTTAAACTGCAAAATCTAATTTTCACTTGTCTAATCATCTTTTTGGTGGCATTATTGTGCTATCGCGTTGATCTTGTAATTCATATGCTATTTTACCTTGACCTCTTTTATATAGCATTGTCACATTGGTGTATATTTCACCGGAGCAAGGCAGAACTTGTTGTTGCAACATGGGATAAACAGTTTCACAGCTCAGAGATGGTTCAGAAAGTCCCCCTCCTGTACCTTGCCAATGATATTCTACAGAACAGCAAACGTAAAGGAAATGAATTTGTTAATGAGTTCTGGAAAGTCCTTCCAGCAGCCCTGAAAGACCTACTTGAGAAGGGTGATGATCGTGGGAAGAATGTGGTTTCTAGACTGGTAATTTTCCATTTTGGGGCTTTTGGGGAATATTAATGACATGGCACTTTTTCTTTTCATCTTAGAAATTCATATGTTTATTGTTTTTAAAACGATAGTGATAATTTGTTATTTCTAAAGTTTATGGTGTTTGTCTCATGCTGTCTATTATTTCATAATATTTATAATTTATCCACTGACATTTTAATAGTTAACTATTACTTAATGCTTTCATTTGGTTTTGGCTTCACTTTTGTTCAATTGCATTATGGATTAATGTTGTAGGTAGCTCCAAAACACCCAAATTATGGGTTGTTCTACTATTTTGTTAGGCATGTTAGGATTGCTGCTTATAGGTGCTGCCAGCCAATTCTGCTATAGTATCATGTTTTTTTTATTGAACAGTGAAGTAAGCTGTTATAGTTATACGTTTCCATACAAATTGTTAGGTAGGTATATGGGAAGAAAGAAGAGTCTTTGGGTCCCGAGCACGAAGTCTAAAGGATGTCATGCTTGGTGAAGAAATGCCTCCACCATTGGAATTAAGCAAAAAACGTCCGCGCTCTGCCTCTGTTAGAATTGTGAAGCGGGATTCACGATCCATTAAAACGGTTAGATTGAGGGCTTTGCTTCTTTTTTTTTTCTTGTATTGTAAAGTTTCATCTTTCTTTTATAGTAAAATTTCATCTTGTTTTCATTTATAAAAGTTACTTATTTTGTGTCTGCATAGTTTATTTCAAATGATTTTTACATTTCTTTTTTTTTTAATTTGATAAAAACCAATTCTCATGGTAATATTTTGCTTCACACACCAGAAGTTGTCAATTGGGGGCACAACTGAAAAAATAGTTTCAGCATTTCATTTGGTGCTCAGTGAACAGCCAACTGAGGACGAAGAGATGAGTAAGTGTAAGTCAGCAGTTCATCGTGTGAGGAAGATGGAAAAAGATGTGGATATTGCTTGTGCAATTGGTAATCTCTGCTCTGTTGACCTCGGTGCTCTTGCTTATGTTTATCTTCTAGGAGACATTTAAAGTTCATTCAGGATTCTTAAAAGGTGTTATCATCTAAAATGCTCTTTACACTGCAGAAAAAGATCCAAAACGAATAACTTTGGCCAAAGAACTAGAAGATGAAGAAAATCTTCTGAAAGAGTGCATTGAGAAACTCAAGTCAGCCGAAGCAAGTAGAGCAGCACTTGTATCGCAGTTAAAAGAAGCTTTTCATGAACAGGTACCTGCACATTCCGTAACTTTCCTTCTATGTTCAACAGTTTCCACTTATTTGCAATGAAGGCAGATCATAGAGCATTATCTTGCTTTCTGAAATTCTTTTCAGGAATCTGAGTTGGAGAATGTTCGAACCCAGATGCAGGTATATATTCTGATAATTCTGTTATGTATACTCTGTTTTTCTGATTTCCAGATGCAATGCCAAAGATGGGCATTGTATTCTGCAATCACATTTGCACACTATTTCGTCATTGCTTCTGATGAATGCTGATTTCTTATCAGCTTCTGGTTGATGTGTGGTTCCAGTGTTCAAATGCTACACCTTTGGCCTATGAGAACTGGTTGAGACTTCTGCCACAATTTGGAACTAATAAGTCCGTTAAGTGTTGGAAGTTTTGGGGAAGCTTGAAACTGAAAGTTAGGAGTATTGCCTGCATTTGAACTTTTTTTTTGCCTTGACCAGTATAGTAGATTTGACTATGGTAATGCATGTTGGGCAAGTTCAATGCGTCACATTTGGTTTTAATAGCCAAAATGCTGCTTTTCTATGATTGGTGTCTTCTGAAATATATCACAATTGCAAAAAGTTGCAGCTAGTTTATATGGGGTTTAGGTATTGTGAGGTGTGTTTAAAAGTTAAAAGGATGCTAGAGATTGTAATCCTCTAGATAGTAGACCATTTGCTATGTTTCCTTTGGGAGTTGATGTGTCAAAATTTTGGTCCAAATTTTTCTGGGTGTGAGTTTACTTGGTTGCTGCTTGTCACATCATCGCTCCTTGTGTGTGCTAAATAGTTATTCTCTATACTTTTTCATATTTAGCTATAATCAATTTTAGGTAGCACAAGCACAGGCAGAGGAAGCCTGTAACATGCGGAAGCGGCTCAATGATGGAGATTATGTATCAACATCATCTACTACAACAATCCTGTCAATTGATGCCAATGCAAAACCTGGAGAAACACCAAAGAGGACGGCTGCAGCTATCGCAGCTGAGGTTGCAGACAAGCTTGCAGCTTCTAGCTCCTCTCAAATGATCATGCACTCTGTTCTTTCTACATTTGCAGCTGAAGAAGCAAAAAGTGCTGGTCTAACAAAGGCGTCCTCTCAGTCAAACTCCCTCACATCAGTACCTGTCAGTTCTGTTATTGATGCAATTTCGAAATCGGAGAAATCAATGCCAGTTGCAGATCCTAATGTTTTTATGCCAGCACAAGCACTTGTTGCCCCAATAAACCATTCTTATCAATCAGTTCTGGTGCCTCAACCAGCCATGCAAAGCCAAACCACCTCTCAAGCTCAATATCACATGCTTCCTAACATGTCCTCACAACAGTTTTTGCAGCCATCAGGGGGAACTATAACCCCATACGGTAGTTATGGTTGTATGCCTCCATTGCCACCTGGAGCACCGCCGCCACCTCCCTATATGGTTAGTCCTATGGTGCCTCTGACTCCACAACCATTGCCAATAACTCAGCAGCAGTCGATACCATCGGCTCAGCAAACCCCTTTGACTCAGCAGCAACTGCTACCCATAACTCAGCAACCACCTGTGCCTCCTAGTTTCCGGCCTCTTCAACCGCCAGGAATGGTGTACTATGGTCATCCACCTCATTCATAGTAAATAAGATCTTGTAGATTAGGCAGATGAAAATTTTGAAATTTTGTTTGTGAGAAATTGGAATTGTCGAGATAATCAGTTGTAGAAGTCCCAGAATAATTTATACAAATGGTTCCAATGAGCAACTAGTGACCAGGCAAGCATTAGCAATTTCTCTTCCGCATAGTTAGTTGAGTTTGAATCGTGCTACATTATTTTCTCTCTCCCGAGGGTTAGCCTGTTACCTATGATTTGCAAGAATAAGCCATTCCTTGATACAGATGTTGGTGCTTCCATGACTTTATTTTTTTTTTTTAAATATTGTATGATAACGAAGGTTAGAGCACTGCGAACTATCAGAAAATCTGGCCTTTAGGTTTAAAATGCCAGAAAAATCATGATATGGTGACATCAAATATCTCAGAAAGAAAAGTCAGTATCTAGGTTGGAGAAGTCAACCTTTCATTGCTTTTCTAATAATGAAATCTTTAACCGAAATTGGCAAATGGTACATAATTGCCATGATAGTGGAGTAATGACCAGATGAAAACCAAGCTGGTGGATTTTTCTTCAGCACTGCATTCACGGTATCCTTTGCAAACACATCTGTTGGGGTCGACCTGGATCTTTGTGAGAGGTATGCTCTCTCTCGGATGGCTGCTTCGAATGGTTTATATAGCTTCCATTCAGGCATTCGGTTGTAGCCAGCTACGGCAGAATCCCCTATGTTTGACCTCACAGCTCCAGGGACAACATTGATGACATCAATACCAAAATGCTTGAGCTCCAATCTGCATACGCCACAAATAATTTGGACAGCATCAAGTTTACCAGTCATCATCTAAATAAAGGTATTTTCTTTTCTTCTGTTTGCTTTTGATTAGCAGTCTCATATGACCTGCAGCTTTTGGCTCAAGCACTCATGTCCCCCCAATAGGTTAAACCTGCAGGTTCAATGTTCAAGCCCTGGCTCCTACCAAAACTGGGAGTTATCCCCATTGCCATTGAAAAAAAGAAAAGACAACCAAACTAAACTAGGAATCTCAAATATATACTAATCCCACATATCTAGTCACATGATATACTCTTAAGGCACCATATAGGAATCTTATAAATAGCAAATATATAGAAATGCGACATCTTCAATTGCATTAAACCAAATGCAGCCCTGAAGGAAAGGGCAATATATGAAAGCTTTAAAATTTCAAGAAAAATCATGCAGCCAATACGTCTTAACATAGAATACAAATGTCAGTAGACTACCCTTTGTAATAGAGATAATGAATACAATAGATAAATCGAGATCATACTATTGCTTCTGAGCAGGCCTTAAATATCTTCATTCAACTATCAAGAGCATTACATGCAGTTCACATACAAACAGTCAAGTATAAAGTTTCTTTGCTATAAATGACCTTGCAATGCATTTAAGGAAGGAGTCATTTTTGCACTTAAGCAGATATTTTGATGAAAAACCAGATTTTTCCATTTGGGCAAGAACCGGGTTAAGGCTGAGAATTCTAAGTTTTGCTCTCCATAATAATCTCCAAAGAATTTGCACATTCAGTAACTTATAGACAGTTAAACACACAACCGCACCTACATGTAAACAGAATTATACAAGTGCAAAAACAGTCTTTTTCCATGTCTGGTGAAGTTAGATGGCACCTAATAAGTTGCCTTTTTTCAGCCTTTCCTTTTAAGCAGATGTCATCTTACAATAAACAAACCTCAAAGTATCAGTTAATACATGAAGAGCTGCTTTAGATGCAGTGTAGACACCAGAACATCTTCTAATAAACTAACCTCAGAGTATCAGTTAATGCATGAAGAGCTGCTTTAGATGCAGTGTAGACACCAGACCATGGCCCAGGAGCCATAGCAGTAACACTTCCAACATTGACAATCTTTCCCTTTTTCCTGGATGCCATGTGAGGTACAACTGCTTGAACCAGCCTCATGGAACCTGTAATCAAATACAACATCATAAACACTAGACAACTAGTGGCATCTATACAAATTGAAACTCAATATTTGCCACTAATGTGGGTGTGACTGGGACTAAGAAGGGGTCTTCAGACCATATTCACCCAAAAGAAAAAAAGGTGAAAAAGAATTATGCAGTGGATTAAGTCTTTTTAAAGAACCACGAGGAAGATGATCGGTAACCAAATACAAACATTAAAGTCATCCATGAATCTAGTCAAAGACAAACAACTAATTAATGAAGCATGGATCCATGAAGGAACAACAACAATCTAGCGGCTGGTACTAAGGTAGCCATCAACAATTCAGGAAAGCCTGCTACCAGGATGCTGTTTCGAGGTATCAGAAAGTTTTCTAGGTCCTCGTCAATCCCTGCCTCGATTGTTTAACAGAAGTATCAATTGGATCTCCCACATTAAAAGCTCAATCAGGAGCCAAAAATGACAAGTTATTTCACTTACAACACTGACTACAGTAAAGTTTACTTAAATACAAAATTACTTAAAACGTAGGCTTGGTTCAACATTCTGCAACCACAACTTTCAGAGAATCAAGATGAACTGATGAATCAAAGCTTAACCAATTTGTTGTAACAAACAACTGAGTCAATAATTTTCATGAAAGAACAGTTTAGTTAAAACTAGGCTCGGCGATTCTCTAAATAAATTTTAATAATAGAATCTCTGTTTCTAGTTACCAAGTGCCTGTGTTACGGGCCACAGTCCAGACCCACCAGGAGGCTCAAGAGGGTGCCAGCCCAACTAGACCCATGTAAGGGGGCTGCTGGAAATTCAAATTTTCCCTCCCAACCGAACTTCTAGAACCTCCCAAATGTTTTGGAGGGAAATCTTTTGGGGGGAATGCTTTGAATTGAAAACTTCGGAGGGAAATGTGTGGGGAACCTTGGCTAATAATAACCCCATGCTCCTTGTGTAAATCATCCCATTGAATACATTGTAATTCAATTCATTCATACAAGCTTAGCTTCTCTTTGCTAGTATTCTCTTGTCTTCCTTTTCTCTTTATGCAAGCTTGCTTGCAGGCTTAAAGCCATCGGGTGGGAGTTGGTGCTTGCTGAGTAAGTGCTGAAGCACTGAGGCTGACTTGGGTTCTAGTACCGAGATAAGGGTTGAGCCCAAGGCCGCACGGAGAGTGGTCTTAAGAATCGCCCCGTGACAGTTGGTATCAGAGCCATTGCGATCCAGGTGCTCGACGAAATTCCGCAGAGCCATTGCGATCCAGGTGCTCGACGAAATTCCTAGAGCAGTTTGCGATCAGGGTTCGACAAAATTCCCAGACCAAAGGGAAGTTTTGCGACCCAAGTGCTCGACTAAATTTCCAAACAAGCAGGAGGTGATTGAAAGGAAGGAATGACTACTAGCGGATCAAGCATGCCCGAGGAAACTATCGAGGTCAGAGAGACGCGTGTGGTCGGAAGGCGAAGTCTTCCTCACGAGACCCCATCATTGAGTTTGATGAGAGGCTATCAAGATGGAGGTGACTGTGGGCGAGTCGCGTGACCGCCTTGATGTGCAGGAAGAACACATGGAAGAGCTTCATGCTCTGATGAGGAACTCAAAGGAGAAGTCCAATTGATGATGAGGGAAACCTTTGAGACGGCCATGGAACGAAACGCCCAACTGGCAAGAGAGATGGAAGCGTTGAGGCTGAGCTAGTGTATTGAAGGAGGAAATGCGTGCGGCAAGAGCCAATAGTGGCCGGGAGGCTGCCGTACCCCCGGAAGCAAGGCTAGATGTGCCTAAGCCCGAGGAATTTCGAGGCCGGAGGGATGCCAAAGAAATAGCAAACTTTCTTTGGGGGCTTGAGCAATACTTCAAAGCCACTGGGATCGTGATGGATGACCGTCGAATCATTGTGGCATCCATGTATCTGGGAGATACAGCACTACTTTGGTGGAGGAGGCGGTGCGATGATAGCTCGGTGGAGCCCCGGTACTCACGTGGGCAGATTTTAGCGGGAATTACGCCAGCAATTCTACCCCGAATACGCCATGGATGAGGCGAGGGGCAAGCTGCGTAGGCTGGTCCAACGTGGGGAGACCGGGACTATGTGAAGGAGTTCAGCGAGCTGGCCCTTCAAGTGGGGGATCTAGGGGAGAGGGAGGCCCTCTTCACCTTCATGGTGGTTTGAAACCATGGGCCAAGCAAGAGTTGCAAAGGAGAGGCATGCAAGACCTCACTTGAGCCATGGCAGTGGCCGAAAGCTTGGTAGATTACTCCCGAGCCGACAAGGACAAACCTACGCCATCCAAGCCAAAGGATAAAGGTAAGGGATGGGCGGATAAAAATAGGCAGTACAAAGATAAGGGCTGGGCGGACAGAGATAACCAGCCTAAGGATGGTGGCGAGGGCAAGCCACAATCAAAATGGAGAGGTAATTCTACCTCAAAATGGAGATCTTTCAGAAACAAGGAGGACCAACCGACGGGTTGCTTCTTGTGTGACGGACCACATCGGGTCCGAGATTGCCCAAAGCGCACCAAGCTAGTGGCGATAGCCTCGGAGGAGGAGCCACAATCAGACCAGGCAGCGCGATTGGGCTCAGTGCTGCTGGGGGCAGTAAGCAAGACGAGTAGTCGAGCCAAGGGGCTCATGTATGCTGATATGATCATAGCAGGACAATCGGTGGAGGCACTGGTGGATACGGGCGCTTCTGAACTCTTCGTGTCCGAACAATGTGCTGCTAACCTAGGCATCAAATCTAATAGCGCAGGCGGCTGGGTAAAAACTGTGAACTCAAGAGAGTGCGCACAAAGGGCATTGCCAAGGGGATCGATGTGCAACTTGGCCAGTGGCATGGAGCTGTGGACATCGAGATCATCCCGATGGATGATTATGATGTAGCCGTGGGGATCGGCTTCCTAGATAGAGTCCAAGCTGTTCTCGTGCCGCACAACGATTGCATTTGCATCTTGGATCAAAGGGGGCAATGCGTAGTGCCAGTCAGACGAGGACGTACTCAGCCAACAAAAACATTGTCTGCCATGCAGCTAGCCAAGGGCATGCGCAAAGGTGAGCAGACATTTGCTGCGGTGCTGAGTCTAGAAGACACCCCCGGCAATATAATCAAGGCACCGGTAGAAGTCCTAGAGGTGCTGGAGGAATTCCAAGATGTAATGCCTCCTAAGCTGCCAGGCCACTTGCCTCCCGCACGAGAAGTGGACCATCATATCGAGCTAGTGCCAGGGGCACAGCCGCCCGCCAAGGCACCATATCGGATGGCGCCTCCCGAGCTAGCAGAACTGAGAAAGCAGCTTGGGGAGCTTATTGACGCTGGATTTATCAGGCCATCCAAATCCCCTTTCGGAGCTCCCGTATTGTTTCAGAAGAAACATGATGGGTCTTTAAGGCTATGCATCGACTACCGAGCTTTGAACAAGCTCACGGTCAAGAACAAGTACCCGATCCCGCTTATAGCTGACTTGTTCGATCAGCTGGGCAATGCGCGCTGGTTTTCAAAGTTGGACTTACGATCGGGGTACTACCAGGTGAGGATAGCTGCGGGGGACATATCCAAGACGGCTTGCGTGACTCGCTATGGGGCATACGAGTTCTTGGTTATGCCATTTGGATTAACCAATGCACCAGCAACATTCTGTACTCTGATGAACAAGGTATTACAACCCTTTCTTGACAAATTCGTAGTTGTATACCTTGATGATATTGTTGTCTATAGCCACTCATTACAAGACCATGTTGAACACCTACGGCTTGTTTTTGAGGCCCTTAGACAACATGAGCTATTCGTGAAAAGGGAAAAATGTTGCTTTGGTTTGCATGAGGTGCCATTCTTAGGGCACATTGTGGGGGATGGCAGAATCCGGATGGACCCGTCCAAAGTAATGCTATCCAGGAATGGGAACCGCCTGCCAAGGTAAGGGAGCTGAGATCCTTCCTTGGGTTAGCCAACTACTACCGCCGGTTGTCAAAGGATACTCAAGCATTGCGACACCACTAACGGACATGCTGAAGAAAGACCGGGTGTGGGAATGGAATGCCGCAAGCCAACATGCCTTTGATCGGCTGAAACAGGCAATGAGTGAACAACCGGTACTGAGATTGCAGGATCATATACTGCCGTACGAGGTACATACGGATGCAAGTGATTTGCCATTGGCGGGGGGTACTGATGCAAGATGGGCATCCAATCGCGTATGAAAGCCGAAAACTGAACGATACCGAGAGACGGTACACGGTTCAGGAAAAGGAGATGACGGCAGTGGTGCATTGCTTGCGATTATGGCGGCACTACTTTTATGGGCCAAATTTGTAGTGCGGACTGATAATGTGGCCACATCCTACTTTCAAAGCCAAAAGAAGTTAAGCCCGAAACAAGCCAGATGGCAAGACTTCTTGGCAGAGTTCGATTATGAGCTGGAGTATGAGCCAGGCAAGGCTAACTCCGTGGCTGACGCCTTAAGCAGAAAGGCTACATTGGCTGCCATCAGTGAAGTGCGCACAGAGCTGCTACCTCACATTCGGGATGGCATGGCAAGCGACCCGACCCGCGCAATCCATACTGGAGCATGCCACGGTAGGCAAGACCAGGCGGTTTTGGGTAAAAGAGGGGCTAGTGTACACTAAGGGCAATAGGCTCTATGTTCCGCAGCATGGGGGCTTGTGGAAACAGCTACTGAAAGAATGCCACGACAGCCCTTGGGCAGGCATCCGGGGCTGCATCGGACGATGGCATTGGTAAGCGCCAATTATTACTGGCCCAGAATGGAAGATGACATTGAAAGCTATGTGCGGACCTGCTTGGTGTGCCAACAAGACAAGGTTGAGCAGCAGCGACCAAGGGATTACTCAACCCACTGCCAATACCAGAAAAACCATGGGACAGCGTAAGCATGGATTTCATCATGGGGCTGCCCAAGGCAGATGGGTTCGGTAGCATTATGGTGGTGGTGGATAGATTTTCGAAATATGCCACCTTTATACCAGCCTCAAAAGAATGTCCTGCGGAAGAAGCAGTCAAGTTGTTCTTAAAGAACATTGTCAAATACTGGGGCGTTCCGCACACCATCGTCAGCGATCGGGATGACCGATTCACGGAAAAATTCTGGACAGAATTATTTAAGCTGTTGGGGTCTGAATTGTGCTTTTCCACCAGCAACCACCCACAGACGGATGGATAAACCGAGCGGGTGAATGCATTGCTGGAGCTCTACTTAAGGCACTTCGTGAGGGGCACGCAGTCCGACTGGCCAAAGTGGCTTGACATAGCACAATTCTCGCATACCTACAGCGCAGCGAGTCCACGCGTCAAAGCCCGTTCGAAATCGTGATTGGACAACAGCCCCACACACCAAGTGCCATTGCCGTGGGCTATACAGGTGTCGCACAGCGGCATACAAAACCGCTAGGGGCTGGGAAGAGCAGCGGGACTTAGCTCGAACGTGTCTCCACAAAGCTGCAAAAAGGGCAAAGAAGTGGGCAGATCAAACCCGACTGGAAGCTCACTTCAGCGAAGGGGACATGGTGATGGTGAAGCTACACCTTGTTTTGAGGAACAAAGGCTTGCACAAGGGCCTTGTTAGAAGGTACGAGAGGCCCATATCGGGTAATCAAGAGAATCGGCCAGGTGGCATACAAGTTGGACTTGCCGCTCAAGCCAAAGGTGCATCCGGTATTTCATGTCAGCATGCTGAAGCCTTACCATGCAGATAAAGAGGACCCTAGCCGAAGGGTGAGCAACAGGGCACCAGTAGGCATTCGAGCAACGTACGACAAAGAGGTAGAAGAAGTGCTGGCCGATAGAGTACTTCGACGGAAGCATCACATGCCTCAACATCAGTACCTGGTGAAATGGAAGGGATTGCCCGAGAGTGAAGTTAGTTGGGAGTCTGCAGAAGATTTGTGGCAGTTCCAAGATTGGATTAACGCCTTCCACACCGGCAGCGAGGACGCTGCCAGCTTAGGTGGGGGAGGGTGTCACGGGCCACAATCCAGACCCACCAGGAGGCCCAAGAGGTGCCAGCCCACTAGACCCATGTAAGGGGGGCTGCTGGAAAATTTAAAATTTCCCTCCCAACCGAACTTCTAGAACCTCCCAAATGTTTTGGAGGGAAATCTTTTGGGGGGGGGGGAATACTTTGAATTGAAAACTTTGGAGGGAAATGTGTGAGGAACCTTGGCTATAAATAACCCCATGCTCCTTGTGTAAATCATCCCATTGAATACATTGTAATTCAATTCATTCAATACAAGCTTAGCTTCTCTTTGCTAGTATTTCTCTTGTCTTCCTTTCTCTTTTATGCAAGCTTGCTTGCAGGCTTAAAGCCATCGGGTGGGAGTTGGGTGCTTGCTGAGTAAAGCTGAAGCACTGAGGCTGACTTGGGTTCTAGTACCGAGATAAGGGTTGAGCCCAAGACCGCACGGAGAGTGGTCTTAAGAATCGCCCCATGACACCTGCATGATCTCATTTACAATGACAATCATGTTTCTTCTCTCGGTAAAACGCACAAAGAGCTTGCAGCCAAACAAAGCAGTAGATGCTATGTACATGCATAATCAATTATACCTACTTGGAAGATATTTTCTTTCCTTATGCTAAGTAAATCAAACACAAGCTTGTCCTTTTTTAGGTTAATCAGCGCCAGTCGATAACACTCAGTCACCCCTAACCCTCCCCCCCCTCCAAAAAAAAAAAAAAACAAAAAATCAGTACTAAGTCCAATTGCACTGCAAACATGAATGGCGAATTTAACCAAATAAGTGGGGATATATACCTTCCTCACTACCAACCAAAATAGCACAAGAACAGATTACCACCCATAGCTAAATGACCACATATTAGCCCGTGACATACAGAAACAGAGAAGATAAAAGAAAAAAATATAACTTAAAGATTGAAATAAATCACGAAATGCATATATCTTAACTTCAAACGGCAGAACATAATAATACAATAAAAGAGGAGATATTAATCATTACCAAAAACGTTGGTATTAAAGGTATTTTCCATGGCAACTAATGGGATTTCTGCAAGAGGCCCAATGCACTGGATTCCAGCATTATTAACCAACACATCAACCCGACCAAACTTATCCAGTACATTCGACATGACACGTTGCACGCTTTGCTCTGATAAAACATCGAGTTCTTGAAGATAAAACCTGGGATCTTGTTGCAGGTCCGACATGGAGCTTAAAGACCTGGTTGTCGCCACCACCTTGCAGTTGTTGTCAGCAAAAGCGCGTGCCAGGGCGTGTCCGATTCCCCCCTGGGAACATCCTGTGATTAGTACAACCGGGTTTTGGCCCTGGGATTCCATTGGAAAGGGTACTATAACTGGAATTTGGAAGTGTTAGGTCTTTCTCTTGAGATGGAGTTTCTTTGAAGTCTTGATTGAATTGGATATTTATGGAGTTTGTTGAACTGCAAAATCAAAGGGAAGTCGGCGTTGATTTCAAAGAGGATTTCATTTCGGCTTTTGGTGGTCAGAGATATTTTCAGGTTTTTCGGTCAGTTTCCGTGTTAACAAGATTTGATTCGGTGATGAAGAACAATTGGAACCTTGAGATTATAAATTATTAAATGGTGAAAGGGGTCCTCCCATCCTCCATCTTAAATGAGGATTACGACAGGGAACAGAAGCCAAACTTATTTTTAATTATTTTTCCTCTAAATAAAATCTTAGAGTATCACCATCACACTCAAAACTATTTTTAATTATTTTTAATAAAGGATAAATTTCATCTTTGCATAGTATTTAATCATTTTTTAGTTCACATTTCGTGAATAATTTTATTTTTTATAAAAAAAAATTCTTAATTTTATCTGATAAAAGTTATAAAAATATTTTTAAATATAAACAAATAAATTAATTTAAATTGAAAATATTTTGACATTTTTACTGAATAAAATGAATAATCAAATTTTGTATATGAATATATGTGGACCCATCTAGAAGACATGACACCATGCCCTTTCTAAAAAATTTAATTTTTATAATATTTATATATAGTTTAAGGTAATTAATATACAAATGAATTTATTTTTTTATAATTTTATAAGAAATGGGGTCAATAAGTGATTTATAAAAGAGTAATTTATGTTATGAATAAATGAATGTGCCAATCTCCCAACCCTTCAAATTCTATTTATAATCAATGTATATATTTATGATAATTCATCAATATCTTCATTAATGCAATATAAACCCCACGTCTATGTAACCCTATAAATAAGGTTTTGTACTTGATGAAAAATTACAATCAATAATAATAAAAAATAAATAAGAAATTCTTCTCTAATGAAAAATGAACTAGAAGTTTTTTTTCAATTCTTCTCTAATTATTTTCTTAGTATATCTTTTTTTATATTTTATATCACGTTATTAATATGAGTCATTAAAGGTAATGAGAAGATTTCTTTTTTCAATTAGATTTTAGTTTTTTTTATGGTTTAATCAGTCTAAAGCCATCTACAAAATTAGAATATATCTTTGTCCCCTTAAAAGTGGTGACATATTGTCCCTTGAAGCGGTGATAGATCTCTGAGAACACCAATCTAAGGGTTCAATTTTCTATATGCAGTATTATGACAAATATTGAAAAGCTCAAATTTCACATCCTGTAAGTGAATGGAAACAATTATCTGTCTTGGTGCCTTGATGTAGAGATGCATCTTTAAAGGTAAGGTCTTGCTGATGCAATTATTATAGACGGAAACACAAATGACAAAAATAAAGCGAATGCTCTAATTTTCATTCGTCTTCATTTGCATGAGAGCCTAAAGGCTCAATATTTATCTATTTGAGATCCTGAGATATTGCGGACAAGATTAAGAGAGAGGTATGCTCATACCAAGACTGTTATTTTACCTCAAGCACAGTATGATTGGCAACATCTCTGCAAGACTTCAAATCAGTGTTTGATTACAACTTAGCCTTATTTGATATAGTTTCACAATTGGAATTATGTGGTGTTACGCTCACTAAATCAGAGCTATTAGAGAAATCTTTCTTTACTTTTCATGCTTCAAATTTTGTATTATAGCAGCAATACTTACAGTGTAAATTCATGACGTACTCGAAGTTGATTTATGTCCTCTTGACTGTTGAGCGGACAAATGAAATGCTACTCAAAAATCATAATCTTAGACATATTGGCTCAAAAGCATTGCCTAAAACAAATGCTAACTTTGGTAAGAGTACTGATTGATTTAAGAGCCGTGGGCACAGGCTAATGCATAACCCATGAAAAGGTGGCAGAAAATATAAACGCCTTAGGCAAATTAATCTTGGCCTGAATCATGGCAAGGGCAAGATGCCTAAGAAGGAGCATGATGAAAGTATTTGCTATCGTTATGGCATGACTGGAAAATGGTCGCGTACATATTGTACTCTAAAGCATTTTGTTAATTTATACCAAGCATCCTTGAAGGATAAGGGTAAGAGAGTCAAAACTCATACCATTAAAAATGCTATGACCAACGTCGAGGCTAATAATTCCTCCATTGAAGTGACTCTTCTAGCTCTTGTAGAAACAAAAACATAATTAGATGTCTCTGATTTTTTTGAGGACCCTGAAAAGGCATCAGATTGGTGAAAGTTAGCTTAGACTTTGGATCTAAGAATTTGAATGTTATTTTCAATGTATTACTTTTA